CCCCAAAACCCCAAAACCCCAAAACCCCATCTAGATAGAATTTGGTTAAATTAAGTTTATGAAATTTTGATTAAACTGAGTAGTTAAAAATTGATTTGAAGATATCAGCTCATTTATGCATGAATTTTGCTGATTTGATTAGCTTAATTTCCTGTCTCTCTTCATCATGCTCTTTAGTTGGTTTCTTATCCTTTACATTTTGCTTCTTCATTATCTCTTTTCTCTTTTCCTCGGTTTCTCTCTGCAGCTTATTTAATTGATTCATCCATCTTTCATAATCATCCTTACTCTTACAAGCAAAAGTAATATCATAGGTATATGATTTCATCTAGAATACATATTTTCGGTTGTACATTCCTTCACTAACTGCTATGATCTAGGCGTCTATTGTTGGAAATAGATTTCTAGGTCTCTTTTAAGGATCATTATAATATAGAAGTCCCACATTAGTAAGTACACAGAACTTTTCATTCCAAGATCTAAACCAGTTTTCTGATCTTTTATCTAAATAGCCAACCAAGCTTGCGTTTAAGAAATTTGTTGAAATTAAATGAGAGAACAGATTCTTATTATTTTTAGATAAGTCATTTTTAGCAGGGTCAAAATCAAGGATTTCTTATTTTTTTGTTTTCAAAAGCTTAAGACCGTTTGATTGAACTAGTTCTGGTCTTTGCCATCCGTTATTGTCAGATATATTTACCAAAAACACTATGAATTCTGTTCTTCTAATTGTCTCCATAAGAAAATCATACTTCTTATTTACGTGAATTGCTAGCATTGCAGAGCTTGATTTTATCAAAGTAATTCCAGTGATATCTTTGATTGGAATCTTAACTATTAAACTTAGATTAATACTGAGTTAATAGACATTGCTTTAAGTGGCAAATAAGATTCTCTTTGTTTTGTTTAAATGTGAATCTATTTTGTACATATAATCTGAGAAAATGACAAGTTAGTACTTATTCTCCCCTTATCTCTCAAGGAATTAAGTAACTCTCTTGTATAATTTATTTGCTGAACTCCTAAGTGAGAGATAGTCGAAGTTAGTTATCTTTGATACAGTTGAAATCACACTTTAATCTCTGGTGTTACCCGCGAAACTGCCCTTAACCATTTTACTACTAAGAGTAGTAAACCTGCCAGCCTTTTTCATTAATTCTTTGAGTTTTTTGCCATCCTATGTCTTTTAGTACTCAATCATTGCTTTTGATTTCCTAGAAGGATCATCCTTCTTAATTGCGATGCTTTAACTTCTTTCACTCTCCTCTTCATCATCATCCTCACCAATCATTGTAATTCTTGAAAATAACTCTGGCTCATCTCTGATTATGATCAAGCTCTCAATATTTTATTTTCTTACCTAACCTCCTTCTAATGGCATGACCTCATCTTTTTCCTCTTCTTCGTAATCACTTTTATTAGTTTACTTTCTAATTAGCTTCAGTGATTCTTTCTTCAATTCTTCTTAAGTTTATAATGCTAAAGGATCATAAAAATCATCTTCATGCTTAAATATGTCCATTTCAACTTAGTGAGTTAAGGCTCTTTATTTCACTTAGATTGAAAGTGGATTGAGATTGTCTTAATGGATTATTGTATTCTCATTGCCAAAGCTTTAGTGTGTTGTGAATCTAGATGGATCAAATTCATCCCCTAAAGTAGCTCTAGCATATACCTGCTCATTTTAGGTATTTTAAACCATTATTTGTGGTTCCTACTACTTTCTTTATAGATTAGGCTTTGCTTCTTAGATTTTTTCTTCTTCCCCAAAATTTGAAAATCTTTGAAAATCGAAACTTGTGAAAGGATCATTCGTTTTAATACTTGAATCAATTCTGCTAAGCCTTTCTCCAAATGGCTCTATCTCTTATCTGCCAATTATGTTCATATAGCTAGTTCTAAAGTTATCGTTATCCTAGTGCTTCTATATTAAGTCCTAATTCAAATATTTGAATTCCCAAACTTGCAAACTCTATAAATAATCAAATATCAAATAAATTTACATCTTTCATTTCAGATTAGGAGTTTGTAGCTTTTTTAAGTTCAAAAATGAGTGATTCAATTCTCTTTCTGTCTACAATATTTATCTTCTTTCTCTTATCTACTTCTGCAATCAATTTCTGATTAAGAATATATAGTTTCTAAAAGTTATTAGGAATATTAATCGTACTTCATTTTCTAAGCATACTTCCTCTGCATCTCCTAATAGTTGATTTACAGTCTATTTGTTTTTAACGTATTCCTAAGCCAAGACCGAGAGTGCTCTTTAATCTTGAGGCTCTAGTGTGTTATTAGAGATTATCAATGACTGAATAGTATTAAGATATTTTTACTCTAATTCATTGACAGAATTACTTTCCTCTTGATTGATTACACTTAATCTTGATAAAACAGCAGCAGTCTATGTATTTCTTGAGAACCCTCCGCCCTTGATCATACTCTATCTGAAGGTATTTCTCATATTTTGGTATTTCTTTTACATTTCTGGTGTCGCTTCAGTTTTAAAAAGTTCTCTGAGTCCTTGAAGCTCTATCTCAGTTTCATATAATTTTTCGTCTAACTCATCTCTTTATTAAATCAAATGCTCGTTTTCTTATTCCAGTACAAATACTTTAGGCTTAAGTAGTGAAAGCTTCTTCTATTTCCTATCAAGCTATTGAATCAGTTTGATTTACTTGGCTTTCATTTCATTGAACTATCTCTCAATCTTAAAGAGATCATCAACGTCTCTTTCAAGCACCTCATATTCTATTTGCAACTTTTGGTGTTTTTCTTTTTCAGTATTGTATTTCAAGCTAAAATCTTCTTTTTCTGCATAAGCTAATGCGCACTTTTACTTAAGGCCTTCAGTCTCATCCTCTAGCTTACTGCACTTCTTGCAAATAGAATCAACAATCTTCTTCATAGCTGAGAAAAACTTTGACCATTCATCATGATAGAGATATGATTTGTATTTTTGGTTATCATTCATGTCATCAATAATTTCTTAAAGTACGATTTCTGGGTCTCTTTATTCATTCGACATAAAGTCAATGAAAACTTGCTTTGAAGCTGAATCGATTTTAGATATTTTCTCTCCAACAACAGGCAATTATTAACCTGAGGTGTTGCTCTTTCTCTTTTAGTTAACTGGAGTATTTTATATTTGAAGACTAGAAGATGATTAGGATGAACCTGTTCTAGCACTTAAGCTTCCACTTGGAGGCTGTTAAACCTGCCCTTTTGATCTTGGTTCTGGCGAAATCGAATAAGGATCGTCTTTCTCATTATCTGAACCTTATGTGTCAAGATGCCTGGGAGAGTCTTCATCTTCTTCATGAATAACAAAAATGGGCATATTGACTTACTAATCAATCCCTGCCATCGACAGTATTTCATCCTCAAACTTCGATATCAGATCAGAGAATTATGTTTCATTGATGAGGTGATTTTTTTGCGCTATTTAATCTGCAAAGAATCCACTGAATTCTTCTACCGTAATTTTAAGTGAATTAGACATGTTTGACAGCTATTCTTTAGCGTCCAATAGATTGAGAAAATAAGTATGCTTGTCTTTAGCTAACTGCTTATTGTTTTCAAAGAGCTATCTAAACTCAGTTAGCTTCTCTATAGTCATCATATCATCTTTCTATATAATCATAATTTATCAGCTTATTCTTACTGGTTAAAACTGAGATTCTCTCCTCACTCCATTATTATCAACATATTGAGTCAATATAAACTCTTTGAAGTCTTAGTAACTTACTAGGCCATCCTATATAATTGAATTAACAGTATCTATTGATTTACACAATCAAGATCAACTGGAGTAAAGTACTCTAGGAATTCCTCATCATTTTCAAACGTAGCTCCTAATTATTCCAATACTAAAATTAGAGTTAATTACTGTAAAACAAAAATATCTAAAATGCTTAATACCATCTCTAAATTATTGCATGTTAAGCGTGTGTGAGTCAAAAACTTTGAAAAGCTATCTTGCTTCCCTAAGTTGCTCGTCAATTAGATCTTAATCCATAAATAAATTAATTTGATTTAATGTTAATAAATTAATAATTTAAATTTGGTTGTCACTGTAACAAATTCATTTCAATTTAACTTTAATTATTTGATTTTTTAGTAATTCTCCTCCCCTCCTATGCTTTGAAGAAATTCTTGGTGCTTTTGTATCTACTTTAATTTTTCTAAATCTTTATTTGGTTACCTCTTCTTAAATGTCAGTTCATTCATGTCCTGGCAGAGTATTTTTTGTATGAATGACTTGCTGATGGAATTTTCTTTGATTTCTTTGGTTTCATATTACTTGATCATCCCATCTTCTTCTTACTAGTTCATTTGATACTCAGCCATCAATCTAATGAGCGAGTATTTCAAGGGATCCTTGAGCTTTTTCATTTTATCATACTTCTCACTATGATACGGCCTGCTGCTGCCCTCAGATTGTCCCATATTACTCTTGTACCTTTTATATTAGTGCTTGATTATTTCACCTTCCTCTTCTTAATCTTGTTCGTAGTCTTTTCTTTTTGCTGTGTAGTTTGATCTGCTGTTACCTCTTGATTCAGTATCATTGCTTTAATTTTAGTTTAAGTTACGCTCCTCGTACTATTTAAATGTAATTTTTCTAGAGCCTAGTTTATTTTCTAACTCTTATTGCTAAGGTCTGTGAAAGGATGTAGAGCTAATGTGAAAAGAAGCCCTACTCTAGCTTCTATCATGCCTTTTGCAACTCATAAATAGTTTTTGCTTTCTGCTAATTAATTGATCTGAGAATATAATGTGATTAAATAATTAGAACCTTAAAAAGTCTAATATACATTAATAATAATCATATTAAAATGAATTCTAATTACAACTTTGATCATCTAAGACCTGCGAATACCCTGTCATCTGTAAAATTATAATAAGACTCTCCTTGGGTAGAAAAGACTGATTTAGACCAACTTGATAACTAGAACATTAGAGATGAAGTAGAGCAAGTCTCTACATAAGAAGAGACTAAGATATCTCTCAATGATCTTCTGATAGACCATCATTCAAAGATGACTGAAATCTTGAATCATTAGTTGGTTACTATAGAAGCAAGCCAAGGCGATCTTTAAATACTATATTTCGATGTTGAAAAGCCATCTGTAATCACTATCAAGTAAGGATAAAGACATTAATCTTATTAACTTAGAGCTTGGCCAGCCAATGATGATAGTGATCCAGATATCTATTTATCAAATGCTACTCCATTTGTAAGCACCTCAAACTATTAATGGAAATCTGCAAACATTGGAAGTGATCGAATCGATGTCCATCCATAAGATCCAAAGTATAAAATTGGCAGATACTATCTAGGTGCGAATCCCTATCGAGTTGGCATAAATAAGTTTTATGTTTCCTTGACTCTTATAGACGCAAGTAAGAAAATCCCATTAGACTATAACTTAATTTTCAACAGAAAAAGTGCATGAACTTTAAGATGATCAAGAACATGAACTTAATGTTTTGGAATCTGAGTTCTTCTAATATAGTATCAAGCATCTAGGAACCTCTTACCTTTATATACAGTGCTCAGAAAGAAAAAACACAGAGCTCTTTATATCAACTTTAAATATTTATCCATCAGAAAAGGAGCATAAATGGGCTTTCGGCGAACTTCCATTATCTATCGCTGAGAAGTCTAAACAAAATCCCTTTATGCGCGATATCTTTACTGAGGCTACTCCTTTTGAAATAGAGGAAAATGGCATAACTTACTATAGAGAGTTTAAGGATAAAACAAAGTACATTCCTAAATCAGAAGAGGAGTTGATTGATCCCAGTCAAAGTAATGTTTAGTCAAGTGAACTGAAAAGTGTACTAATTTAAAAGGAAGATTGGAAATAAGATTCAGGGATAAAAGTGTTGCTAGAGTCAGAAGCTTGGCGTTTTGTATCGAATAAAGCTCACTTTGGTTTGTATAATAAATCAGGACAAGATTAGATCTACAAATTTAAGTTGACTGAAATCAAGGAGGAAGATATTCTGCCTGTCGAATTGAAAGATAAGTTCATATTTTTCGAAGAGCTGTTTAACAGCAAGGAAGAAGCTGCAGTAGTTAGCTAAAAGGAGAGGCAAAGGAAGAATGTTTGCGATAAAACTGAATTCACTTATGGAGAGGTTATGTTTACATACTTTATTCCGCTAATGGGATTAACATAGCCTTAGGAGGGCGAATCATTCTGGGATTTAGGCTGCGGTGGTGGCAGACCTTTGATCATTTCATCTCTTGCCTTTCCATAATTAAAAAAATGCATTGGAGTAGAGTTGCTTGATGGACTTTATGATTTAGCACAACAGACTGCTTCAGACTACATGAAACAGGCTACTGATAGATTTCCTAATGAAAGAATTGTACCTTTAGAAATCATTAAAGGAGATATGCTTTAAATTGATTGGAGCGATGCAGATATAATATATGCTTCTTCTATTTGTTTCCCTGATGAGCTGGTTGAAGGTATTTGTGATTAAGCTAGAAAATTAAAGAAAGGAGCCAGAATTCTAACATTGAAGAGTTTCCCAGACAGAGATTATTTGAGAATGGAGTATTCATTAAAAATAAAAATGTCATGGGGTAGATGCTAAGTGGCTATGTACCGAAAAATTACTGACCCAGAATTAGATTCTTGACACTTAGATAATTAGAAAGATTCTATAGATTTTTAAGTGAAGCATATTTCAAGTGAAAAAACTTAGAACATGAGATATATACTTATCTTTTAATTTTAGAAACAATAAATAAACAAATACTAAATTGCTTAGAAATAATTTGAATGAATCACGGGGTTTTGGGGTTTTGGGGAGATCGGAAGAGC